TCCCTCCACTCCCTCCACTCCCTCCACTCCCTCCACTCCCTCCACTCCCTCCACTCCCTCCACTCCCTCCACTCCCTCCACTCCCTCCACTCCCTCCACTCCCTCCACTCCCTCCACTCCCTCCACTCTCTGTAGTCCCTACAATGACTTCATGTTGTGCACAATCCCTATTGACCCCCCCCCTCACCCCCAGGCCCCCCCCCGCACCCACCCCATGCCTCGTAGAAATCCCACCTGCTTTCCTGATCCGTCCTGCTCTCCTTTTCCGTACAATCGTACAGGTAAAGGGTAAAGGCCTTATGCGCACGCACCTGTGGACGCCGCCGCCGCCGCCAGCCAAGTCTGCACCTGTCGGCGCTGACGTCACCGCCACCGCCGCCAGCGCGGCCGGGACGGCAGCTTCTGAAACCGCCAACGACGGCGCCGCGACTGCTGCGGCTGCAGCCGCCGCCACAGCCGCTGACATCAGCCAGCCTCCTGCCAGCCGGGCCCGGCCGCGACCGGCGTCGCCGGCCCCTGCTGCTGGGGCGGATACCACCGCCGCCTTCACCGTCTCCACCACCACTACCACTGCCGCTTCTGCAATCGCCAACGGCGGCAGCTGCCCCAGCGCTGCTTCCGCTGCGGCCGCCTCCGCGGCGTCGTCGACCCCACAGCCATCATCACAGCGTTTATCACCGCAGGCCGGAATCGAACCGCAGACTCTCCGAGAGTTTACTGCAGCACCACCATCAGAGTCACCGTCACCATTACCACCGCCACCACCGCCACCACCACTACCACCACTACCTTTTACCAAGTCTCATAAACAGGGGCATCCTCGCAAGCTAGCTAGTCCTTGCACAATCGCGGGTTCAAATCCTGTCACCGGCAGCAGCTTTCTGGCAGGCGGCACTGTGGGATGCAAGGCTATCAGCGGCGGCGTCGGCGTCGGCGGCAGCGGCAGCGGAACCGCCGTCAGGGCGGCGGCGGCGGCGGCGGCGGCGGTCCCTTTGGATGCTACTGCGCTGCCGATCGTTTTTCGCCCGGGTGCGGCGACTGCTGCTTCGGCACCGCCAGTGCTGAGCTGTGCTTGGGTAAACCTCTCCGAGGAGAGCGGAGTACGGCAGCAGGAGCAGCGAATCACTTCAGGTAATGTGGCCTCTGGAGCCGGCTGTAGCGGCTGCGGCGGCCTGGCTAGTTCCACCACGACTTCGGCTCTGGCGGCGGCCGTCGCCGCTGCCGATCCTGGTGACGGCCCCGGCGGCGGTGGCGGTGACGGTGACGGTGGCAACGGGCTAGGGGCTGGAGGTTGCAGTGCTGGGAGCACCGCGGATCGGAATTTAAATACGAATTCAGATCAAGATCAGAATCTTCGGGATACAAATGTGAGCGTCACACTGACAGAATTGCGTCGTACAATCTCACTCGATCTGCTCTGGTCCAGCCGACACGCGGCAGGTCTTTCCATGACCTCCGTCGGCACGCCGTACGACAGCGTGGCGCCTGACGGTACGACACTGCATGAAACTCAAATCCGGGACGATGGGGACAGCAATGGCGGCGGCGGCGGCGGTAGCAGCGCAGCGGTTGCTGACGGCGACAGCGTCCGCTTGCGGCCGTTGTACGGACGACGGGTAAGTGCGTTACGACAGCCGCCCGACAGCCTCTCGGGGGATTCCAACCCAAGCAGTAGCGGCGGCGGCGGGGGGAGGTGCCCTTCCGCTTCCGCCAGGTACGGCGGCCTCGGCGGCTTGCGGAGCAACGCTGATGCCGACGCGTTCAGCAGCAGTCGCGGCAACGACGGCGTCACGCCACGCCTTAGCGCCATGGAGGCCGCCAACGCCAGCACCTGCAGCAGCGTCGCGCTTGCGGAGATGCTGGGCATGGGCAAGTTCCTGGCGCCTATTGTCCGACGTGGCGGCGGTGGCGGCGGCGGTGGCGGTGGCGGTGGCCGCTATGGTGCAGGTGCCAAGACGCTGCGGCCTCCAGTTGTTGAGTCGAAGGCGGCGCCGCCGTCATCGCCGCCGCCGCCGCCGCCGATGGTGCTGCCGCCGGCGGCTGGGGGAGCTTCCGAAGGGAATATCAATAGCTAGTTTTCGGAGCAGGGGGTCGCGGCAGCAACGGCGGCAAGTGCGCTGGATTGATGATGCCTGTGTCGTATGCATGTATCAGGGAGCAACGGGTTACCCCACAGCGCGGTTGCCCAGCACCACGGTCCGGGGGACAGGGGGCTGGTCTCGATATCCCGGAGCGGTGGTAGGTGTCCCAGGGCGCCCACAATCCGGCTGACATTCGTGGGTAGGTCGCTGCCGCCGAGTCGGGGCCCGGCTTGGCTGGCGGTCGTCGGGGCCCACGGTTGGAAGGCGGGGTCGGTGAGCAGCATATAGGCGGAGAGCGTCCGGACCCAGGGATGGAGACCACCATCTGCCCTCCCGTGCCCCCCGGTACCACCTGTGGTTCCTGCAGCTCCACCTGTCCCTGGCCCACATGACGCGTTAGATAGCCCGAGGGCCGCTATGATGAAGCGCACAGCCCATACCGCATGCCGAGCCTGGATGTGTTGCTGGAGGGATACGTATGTATGTATGTATGTATGTATGTATGTATGTATGTATGTATGTATGTATGTATGTATGTATGTATGTATGTATGTATGTATGTATGTATGTATGTATGTATGTATGTATGTATGTATGTATGTATGTATGTATGTATGTATGTATGTATGTATGTATGTATGTATGTATGTATGTATGTATGTATGTATGTATGTATGTATGTATGTATGTATGTATGTATGTATGTATGTATGTATGTATGTATGTATGTATGTATGTATGTATGTATGTATGTATGTATGTATGTATGTATGTATGTATGTATGTATGTATGTATGTATGTATGACTTAGATTACACTGTGGGCCGCGAGAGCCGGGGGCCGAAGCCGAAACACAGCGCAAGGGTCGGGAGCACACAGCACAAGTCGGTTAGTCTTGCGTGCTCCCGACCCCGACTCAGACTGAGACTGCCATGTATGTATGTATGTATGTGTGCTTGAGGCGGGAGCGCATCTAGGAGAACATACCCAAGCAGCGGCGGCGGCACTTGGCGACTCCTAATTGCGGTTCGTTGGGTGGGATTGGTTCAGGGGCGGTAGGTTGGATGGTTAGTTGGTTAGGTTTAGCAGGTTAGTTGGTTAGGTTAGCAGGTTAGTTGGTTAGGACGGAATATCAGGCACGACGGTGTCGTCATAGGACTTGAGTTCTAATTGTGAATTCAAGGGATAGGAGCAGGAGGAGGAGGAGCTGGGGAAGGGGGAAGGGGAAGGGGGATGGGGAGGGGGAAGGGGGAGGGCTGCGGGGCGGGGTGGTGAGTTCCTATTGTGTGTGTGTGTGTGTTATTGCGTGTCTGTTGACGTTGTTCCCAAACATCATATCTGTTCGTATGGGTTTTCAAATGCATTCACTGTCGCGTGCTCATGTACACATATGCATACAGCCCACATGTACATACATACTATTAGGCAGGCGGCTGGCAGAAGTTAAGGCCTGACTTCTGCTCCCAGTCGACCCAGTCGACCCGGGTTCAAATCCGCCTGCCAGCTCCTCGGGTGTTTGAGGAGTGATGAAATGGGAGGTGGCCCCCCATCATATGGACGGTGTAGGACGTGATAATATCAACTTGCGAGCTGACCAGGAACTAAGTTGATGCGCCGTTGATCCGCTAGATTTGGTTGGATGCTGGTGGTGAGTTGCCGAACCCAACGAATACACTCTGAAGTCGGATGGGGTGACGGATTAGGGTGCCCCTCTAGCAGGGGAGAGCAGGGACTGCCCCGGGAAAGGGGGCCGCTGGCGAAGTTAACCACCCTGTAACAACATACTATTAGGGTTTGGCACTACTGGTAAGGCGCGACCATTGTCCCCGGGAGATCCTCGGGATCGATACCCATTAGGGTCAAAGTCTTTCCGATGGTGGAAGGCATTGCGCCCCTAGTTAATGGACGGTGGTGACCTGGGTTAAAGTTAACCTGCGAGGCGGCCAGGAACGGAGTTGGGCCGCTGTTGACCCGGCAGATTCCGTTGGATGCTGGTGGTGGGT